ACCAAGCACTTGTTTTTGCGCTTCGTGAGAAACACCAATAATTTTACGATTATCAAAGACTGAGCCCATAGAGGCTGAAGTACTTTGCACGGCGGGAACGGTATTACGAGTGTTAGATGGTCCTTGCCCATTACTAACACGACTGTTTTGACTGAATTGATTATGCTGTTTAGGTGCTTGCTGATATTGGTTTCTAATGCTGCGATTAGCATTAGGGTTTCCGCGGCCAGTGTTCTGAGGAGGATTATTTTGTGGTCTTCCATTAGGACGATTGACAATTCCTCCGAAATTATTGGCACGAAGGTTTGGAGTCGTACCGGGGACGGCATTAATCATGTTAACTTGACCGTAAAAAGGAGCTGGGCGGCCAGACCTCATTCCATATGAACCTGGATGAGCATACACACCGGGCATTCCAAAGGCACCGGCACCCATTCCAACTGACTAAGTAATTAGAGCAAATCTTAAATGAGTTTTTGAGAAAATTCTCTCTTCAGACAAAAAAAAAAAAAAAAAAAAAATCTACCGCTTGCTGCTGACGGATTAGGTTCCTTTGATTAATTTGAGCTTCTAACTGTGATTTTCGTACATCCTTTCTTTGAGCCAAAGCAACATAAATGGGTTTATTGCCGATCATGCGACCATTCATTTCGGTTACTGCTTTGGTAGCTTCATCAGGAGATGAGAAGCAAACGAAACCAAACCCCTTAGATTGCGATTTCTCATCTCTCATCACCTTTGCGCTTGTAATAACACCGTAGACAGAGAACTCTTGACGCAACTTCTCATCGTCAATGTCATCCTCAAGGTTTTTTATGTACAAATTGACTCCTTGATATTTGTTCAGTTTTTCCATTTTAGCCTGCTCATATTGCCTTCGTAATTCTTCTTCACGTTCATGTTTTTTCTGAGCACGGGCCACAAATAATTTTTTTCCTTTCAACTCTGTATCGTGAAGCTCACCCACCGCACGTGCTGCTTCATCATGATTTTCATAATTAACGAAGCCAAATCCCTTAGAATTGCCAGCTTCATCAGTGGCAATAACAGCAGATGTGATTCTACCGAAGGCTGTGAAGAGATTACGGAACTCTTCTAATTTAACTTCGGTGTCCAAATTTTTAACATAAATATTTGTGAACTTGGCTTTTATTTCTTCAAGTTTAGATTGACGTTCTTTTTTAGGAATATGATGACCAACGTATCTAAATGTTATACTTAAAGTTAATTTCTAAGTTCAATACGCATAGTATCATTGCATCAAAATTTACTCACACTTTCTTATCGTTAAGTAACATTCCATTGACATGCTTAATGGCGTTTTCGGCAGCCTCAGCCGTTTCGTAATGAACGAAACCATAGCCTTTAGATACACCATCTTCCATGGCGACTTTACAACTCAAGATATTTCCAAAGGCGATAAACGTATCATGAAGGGATTTGTTGTCAATCGATTTATCGAGATTTTTGATAAAAATATTGCCAGTACCGGTCTTGCGAAGAGCTGGATCACGTTGTGACCACATGATACGGCAGGGTTTATTTTTGATAACAGTATAATTCAAAGTTTCAAGAGCACGTTCACCTACAAAAATTAATGATTAACTTTTATATTAGCAAAAAATCATCAATAATTTGATTTATTTCCCTGAAATTGTTGATTTATAGTTTGAAAACGATATAATAAGTTAAATAGCATGAATAAAAACGTAATATATGTACTAGTATATCTGTTAAATGGTTTTACGACATTCTTAAATAATTCTGACAAATATGCTTTTGAGATCAAAAAAAAAAAAATATATATATATATATATATATACATATACAAGAAACGTACCATCGAGGACACTGTGGAAATTGACGTACGCATATCCAAGAGATCTTCTGGTAACGGCATCTCTACATACACGAATACTAAAGAAAACAAATGGTTATGAAACAAACTTACAAATTAATCAATTGACAACACAAAGTGCAAAAATAATAATATAAACTTAATACCTTGCGACTGGACCGACCGTACTAAACATTTCAAAAAGCATGGCCTCAGTGACGGAGGGATCCAGCTCACCGACGTAAAGCGAGGCAGAGGCTTGAGGGGCTGCAGGAGGAACACCAACACCAAATTGAGCTTGGGCAGCAATTTGCTGTTGTTGTTCCATAGTGAGTTGTGTTGCGGGATTTGACATTCCTGGAACGCCGGGAGCATTGGTTGAGGAGGTGGTGACTGCTGCGGACATGATGGATTTTTTTTTAAGTGTCGTTGGGGTTAAGGATCGTAACAAAGGATGTAGGGATCTTGATATAGCTTTTAATCTAGGTGGAACCTTATTAAAAGGACTTTTTTTTCTAATAGAAATAAGAGGCGTGAAATGAATATTTTTTTGGTTTTTTTTTTTTTAATTTTTTTTATTTTTTTTTTTTTTATTTTGTTGGAACAAAGGCAAAGGTAGAAAGAAAAAAGGCGGGGGAGAAGCCACGGCCAACTTCAGGGTATGTCACTTTATATAAAATTTTTTTCCTGGCCAAGTTTACATAGCAAAATCTGATTGGATACCCTATGTTGCCTAATTAAGACGAACCGAAATTTTTTAAACTAAGAAAAATTATACTATCAAGGGCTCTGGAACAAAATGTCATGTGGATCACTAAATCATCATTCTCATAAACTATTAAAAAATTTCCCGCTTTTCAGCTATAAACTAAAAAATATTATAGCGGAGTTTCTTCTGGGGTGAAAAATGGTTGGTGTTTTAAATTCAAAACAAAATGCATGTACATAATTAAAAAAACGACAGAAATCCGACAAGTCCAACCATAATACTCTAAAATACAGTATAACTACAGTATTCTTGTAAGATCGAGCCGTGACAAGCTTGTATGATTTATGTAGCATTCTGTAATACCCGTAACAAACAAGAATTGAATCAGTCAGAATGTGTGTGACCAATAATCACACGGAAAAGTTAATCATGAGAAAATTTTCTTTTTATTGTCGTAGCACTTTAACTCATTAAGATCAACGTGGGTTTCACGGCATATATCACGTGTGGCATTTCATAGACATGAACGGAACTTGTAAGGGATAGGAAATATGGGTCAGTACACAGCAAAAAGGGGCTTCGGGACGAATTTTTTATTTGTAGATATCAATATTTAATCAATTAAAATTTTAAATATAATATATAGATAAAAAAATACTGCGTATAAAATTGTGCAAAATTTTATTATACTAATGCGAGCTAAAAAATTTACTGTGAATAAATCACATATTTAGAAATATAATCCGATAAAAATCTCGACCTTGATCAAAATGTCTCTAAGCCTCGTTTTGCTGTGTACTGACCCATATGATGGTACAATTGTTGTAGGTGGGAATAGAATTTAAGTTGATTCAGAATTCTTAAGGTTAGGGTTGGGATTTTTAGTATAATTATTCCGTTCTAAAATATAAGTGGATTCCGAACCCTATTATCGTTTCATTCCCACTTACAACATAACTACCATTATCGTTATGCTCTCAGCTTAATATTATGGGACTATTCTAATGGAATTGCAAATAAAGCAATTTAATTGGCTAGCCCATTTCTATTATTGGTATTATACCTATATCTCTGTGTTATACGTAATACTGGTATTATACCAATCGTATAATACGGTGTAGAGCTTGCCACTCACGTGATCGCATGGATCGGTCAAATTGTAATTAAACACCGGGTAATCTAATGGAGCGGCAGACTTTAGTCTAATGTGGTGGCAAGTTTTAACTCCGGGAAAGTTCTATTTTGCGAGTACCAATACTTCTAACAGAAAGAACAAGATACTAATACAAATATGGAATCCCAATATATTACATATTAGGAAAAAAGGAATTTTATATTAACATAACCATAAAAGGCATTTCAGTTTGAGAAAATTTAGGACTAATTCAAAAAGACCGCATCAAAATATATCCAATAACGGTATTCAAAACTAATAATAAAGATACTAAATCTTCCCAAAAAAATTCAACAAGCTTTTTTGAGAAGAATCATCGCCTTTTCTCTTCCCACGCTTATTTACGTTATTCTTAATACTTGATCCCTCCGGTTTGATTGTCACATTGATTCCAGTTTGCCTGGAGTCTGTTGTCGGCTTGTCATCTAAAATACTTGTAGACGTTGAACTCAATTTTGACATATTTGATGATTCGGTTGATACAACATTCTTGGGCATGCAGTCTGCGACAAAAACTGCGGATTTCCGTTTCTTAGATAATAATTGAGGTGTCTTATTATCTAAAACATTTGTTGTAGACGTTGAACTCAACTTTGGCATATCTGATGATTCGGTTGATACAACATTCTTGGGCATGCAGTCTGCAATCTTATCATCTAAAATATTTGTTGCAGACGTTGAACTTAACTTTGACATATTAGATGATTCGGTTGATACAACATTCTTGGGCATGCAGTCTGTAATAACAAGTGCGGATGCATCCTATACAAATCAAATATTGTAAATTTAGTTAAGGTAAAAAATATTCGTTAACAATTGCTTGGAAAATATTACCTTGGGGCGATGCTCTTCCATACTATAAATATGAATACTTGTTAAGGTTTTGTATTTATGTTTAGTTTCTTATAAAATATTGTATAGTCCAGGCAGTTAATGGAAATGTTAAGTAGTCGATGCGTAAATTTTACTTATCGAAATAAATACCTTCTAGCTCTTCCTTAGGTACTAACAATACAGCATTTCTATTTTCCTTTGTGATTCCACAAATGCAGTAGATTGCATGAGGAGCCTTCCCTGTTATAGACATTGAAGCTTCGAACTCCAAGAGCATTCTTTGACGTTATAAAAAATTGTGCTTGAATCAATGAGCGTTTTTGAAGTATCTTTAATTCATTTTGAATTTGAGTTTACCGTTTAGCGTGATTCGTGTGAATTCCCAGGCGTCTACTTAGCCACTTGTAGGTAACCTGAAAAACAATATGAATTAAGAAAAGAGGGATCGTAGCTTATATATACTTCCTGAAAAACGTAATTTTCCGCGACATACGATTCGTTTTTCATGATATATGAAGCTCTGAAGGCTCTCCAAGTGGTTCATTGGTATCGCTGACATAGAACGTCCAAATAAATTTGCAAAAAAAAAAACGCGAGAAGAAATACGCGCCAAGTTTAAAGTATTCTGCATGAAATTATTGGCATAGGAAATCGGTTGTCACGTGAGGAGGTCGTAATACAATATCGATTTATTGTCCGGCCCAAATTATACTCTTAATTTTGCCCGAAGTGATATTGTTACACTGCAGTAAAAATTGCAGAAATATCGCGGGGTTGATAACTACCGACACAGCAGCACGTGATTTAATTCACTAATTCTGCCATAAACCTTAACTATAATGCTGGCCATACTGTGTCGTTAAGGTTAGTACCTGTGTAGTTATCCCCTACCCGTTCGTAATACCTTGACATGCACGAGATCACTAAATGCTTAGTATAAACTTATCGTTATTTAGCGTTAGCGACAAATAACGCCTTTTACTTATCAATTCCTGAATAACAAGAATGCTTAATCCATTAGATCAGCATTGGCACTTCTTGCGGCCAAACAATTTTTTTGGCCAAAATAGGCAAACAACCAATGGCCAGTAGCCAAACTTCGGCCAAAAGTTTCTAACTTTGTATAATATTAACCAATCATACTACTAGCTTTTCTATATGAATCCAAATAAATTGGTCCAATTCGGCTGTTGGCTGCGGACATCGGCCGGCAAAATAGCCAAGTAACAACACTGCATTAGAGAATCCATGCTTACATATTTCGGATAAGTGCATATTACAAGTCACTCTCGTTATAGTGAAGTCCTTGGGCTGTGAAAATTTCTTCACTATATCGAGAGATTCACTATATTGAGAGCCTCTAGATATAGCGAAGTCGAGTATAAATCTTCACTATATCAAGAGAAATAATAAATGGGGCATGAAGCTTGGAATTGGATGATGCTAAGAATTTGGGGTCTCAATTTAAAAATATAAACTCTACTAAAATCCACATATGGGACCCACCGAAACTAAAGGTGGCAATGGGCCAACCAATCATTTTGAGATTTTATAATAATAATTTGCTTATAAGTTTTATCTTTTTAAAAATATTTTTAGTTGATAAAATCTACTAATAAAAAATGTGTTAATTTAAAATTTTTTCTATTTTAAATTGTAATTTTTTCAAGATCACAATTATTCCAATGCCTCCTTTGTTATATATATACTTTTATTATAAATCCTAATTCTAAATTCTAATTTAACTTTAAAAAAAAGCCAAAAAAATAGTTCAAAATTTTTTAAATTTTATTTTAAATTCTTAGTATTATTTAATTTCAAGTTTTATTTCTAACAATAAATTTATACTTCAAAAATCTGAAGAATTTAAAATACAAAATAGATTTTTGATTATATAATGATTAACAAAATCTTATCATAGTATTTAAAATTTTGTTTAAGTTAGATTAGTTTTAAGATTTGGATTTGAATTTTTTTTTGATATTAAAATAACTTCTCAATTAGCTCTTTTTATTTAATTGTAGTTTAACTTTTACAGTATATAACAATTTCATACTGTATATATATTTGGAGAATATCAGTACAACTTTTGGTTACTTATTTAAATAGTTTGCTTATTACTAAGTTCTATATTAGATGCTATATCTATAATCTGACTAGGAGTTATCTTTGCATTTATATATATTAATAGACAAATCGTGAGTCACCTAAACAAATTTTTTTTTTATATATATAAATTTTATTATAAACCCGAACGTGCAGCGCTTCTATCTA